TAGAAGTCTTATTGATGTTCACCCTCCTTTCACCAATTATTGAAAACTCAATAATTCCATGGTCACTATGCCCCAGTTGTCCTCCAACCACCACATCTCCCACCAGCCCGTCTCTATTTGAGAATTAATACTCACCCTAATCCCAGAGCCAAAACGTGAGATATGAACAGAGATGGAATGAAAACCTTAAGAAATTCTGCAGAGAAAATTCCACCTTTTTTCATCGCTCCGCTTTTCCTCATACTTAGAGACACTGAACGTTTGGGATGTCTGAAATGGAATTCCCTGGAAAAAAAAAGATGGAAAAGGGGGAATTTTTCCCTTTTTTTTTTAGTTTTTTGCACACAGATCTCTGTAGGAACTTTTTTTTGTTTTTTTTTTCCAAGTACAAAGAGTTAGAGATCAAAGGCTGAGATCTCTTACATGGAGTAAGGAATGAAAGAGAATAAAAGGAGGGATTGTGGAGAAACCACTGGCACAGAGAACAGACAAAAAGGGAGCACAGAGAGGTAGGGCCAAGAGAGGGAATGGCAGGATGGGATTTTTTAGCAATTTTTTAGCAATTTTTAACAATTTTCCAGCAATTTTCAGTATTTCTTAGTATTTCTTAATTTTTTAGCAATTTTTAGTGATTTTTTAGCAATTTTTTAGTGATATTTTAGCAATTTTTAGCAATTTTTCAGCAAATTTTAGCCATTTTTTACTGAATTTTTAGAGCTTAGTTCAATTCAAAATAAAAGAATATTTCTTAAAAACCCGGAGTTGAACTTAAACCAATATTGATTAAAAACCCGAAGTTTAATTTAAAATAAAAGAATATTTATTGAAAACCCGAAGTTGAATTTTAAAATAAAAGAATATTGTTTAAAAACCCAAATTTCAATTTAAAATAGAAGAATATTGATTAAAAACCCAGATCTGAACTCACTTGGGAGGAATATTTTCAGGTCTACTCGACCAATCTGACACCCAATCTGCGCTTTTCTTCAAAACTTCCAATTCCTTCTCTCCTTCTGCCGCTTCTTCTTCGGACTGGAAAACAGAGGGGACAGAAAAACATTGGAAAATTCCTCCTCAAAGTGTTAAATCGAGTGACAAAAATTCTGTGACACAAAAAAAAAACCCCAAATGGTGGCACCTGATAAACCATCCCAAGTTTATTTACTGAGCACAAATGAGAGGCAGAGCTCAGGAAAACCTTCTGGCTCTCAGGGCAGTCTTTGATAAAATTAAAGTTAATTAATTTATCCAGGAATTATTTAACTGCTGAAGACAGCACATTGTATGAAATGATCAAACTGAGAGCTCAGAGTGAGTCTCCTCTCAGTTTGGGCTGTGGTTACTCGGTGTGTGCACAGCCAGCACTGAG